TATATCTATATATCTATATCTATACTATACATATACTATACTATATATCTATATCTATATCTATATCTATATCTATATCTATATCTATATAGAAGTATATATACTTGTGGTATAATATAGAAGATACGATAGTTAGCATTTATGGATAGCGTCTAATGTACCAGGTACTATTCTAGGTTCTTTACACAGTATCTCCTCATTCAAACCTCACAATAATCCCTGTAGAGGGAACTGAGACTTAAAGAGTTCAAGAGGCTTGCCCAGCTCCTGATAGGTAGAATGTCCTCATGTGGGGAATTCCAGACCAGGGAGTGTGAGCCCAGCACCTCTTCCCCTGTGCAGCCACTGACTGATGTAGGGTCAGACGTGAGGACTTCCAATGGGCTCCACCTACAGCCTCCCTGCTGCTCATGACCTAACTTAAGGCAAGCATGCTTGAGATGGCAAACTGGTTAAGGCTGAAGTCTGTAGCAAAGGCAGAGCTAATGAGAGCCAGCCAAGCTAACAGCACGTGCATTCTTTGGCACATTCATACTATGCTGTTTATTTAATACTGCATTTTTATTATAATTGCTTAATCTTTTCCCCCCTGAAACTAATGTTGGTTCTACTGTCTGCGAAGTTACAGGAAGAAGTCTCTTAAAAAGGAAATCCTCTTTGGACTGCCATTAGACAGAATTGGTTAAATTCTACCAAACTGGGGTACTTAAGTTCATTGTAATGCATTGTGATATAATGATATAAATAATGTATGTGCGTTATTTACCTAATTTACCAAACTGAAACGCAAAGCAGAAATACAATGAGTACCTGAGTATCTTTTTAACATATGGATAGAAGTAACTTTAAAAAGATTTTTTCCTTCTCCAGTCAAAAGATAGTAGAGTGGCGAAATGGATAAAAAAGCAAAACCCATTATATGCTGCCTAGGAAAGACTCATTTTGGCTTTAGGGCACAAACAGATGGAAAGTGAAGGGATGGAAAGAGACATTGTGTGCAAATGGAAATCAAAAGAAAGCAGAGGTAAGCTATACTTATATTATCCAAAATAGACTTTAAACCAAAGTCGGTAACAAGAGACAAAGAGGGTCATTATATAATGGTAAAGTGATCAATTC